GCCCCGCGCCGCCCGCGCCCGGGACTGCCCGACCGGCCGCCGGGACGCGCTGCCCGGGTGCTGGGGGACCCGACCTAGGTTCCCACGCACGCACGCTCAGCCCCAGGACCGCACGCGGTGGGGCAGCCGCACGTGGCGCGGTGTCCGTGGCAGGTTTCGGGAGCTTCTGTCACCAGTTAGGTTGCTGAGCCTCCTCCCGCCGAGTCCTGATTTCATCACTTGACTCACTTCGGATCCGCTAGTGGTTTCCGTTTCTGTGCGCGCAGCCGGGGCAGAGGTGCCTCTCGTCCCGAGAAGCGCCTCCCCCGCCCAAGAGGAGCCTCCGGTATTTGCAGTCTTGGGGCGCGCCTCCCCTTCCTGGGTTGCGGCGAAGGCAAACCGCTTCCCAGGAGACCGAAGGCCGCGACAGTAGTCAGCACCCCCTGTCTTGTTTGGAAAGGGATTGTGGCCAAGTCTTGGAGTGGGCTTTCCTTTACTGTCCGTTTGTTGAAAAAGCTCAGCATCTATTCTGGAAGGTGGGAAAGCAGATTCTAAGAAGATTATAGGTTTTGCTGTAGTTGGGGGAGGCGCAATTTTTTAAAATTGTATTTTCCCTTTTAGAATATTGACAGCTTTCCCTTCTAGCCTTCTCTGTGTGTGGCTGTACCCTTATATATCCTCCCAGGACCTTGTACATCAGTAGAAAGTCATTTAATTGGCTTTATACCAAAACTTTGTAAATAAGAGAGATACAAAAGGAAAAATAGCTAAGAACTCTTTGGGGGGACATGTGTGATTCCATGGTGGCAGATTTTTCAGTAGAGATTGGCTGTGACCTTCCTCCTACATCTTTGACACATACTCTAGGACCTTATTTGCTGATTTATTCATGTTATGTGTGACATAATTCAAAAGTAAGTTTGAAATGCGGATTTGTACAATATCAACAGGTATAACCTTGCTGATGACAATGTATTTTATACTGTATCTATGCACTGGATTTAAAACTTTACACTTACATCATTGCTTGTTCTGGGTAACATGATTATTTTGTAAGCATTAAGAGATCTTAGTGAAGTGGTAATATTTTAGTACCTAAAAACAATTTTTAAACTCCTTCTCCCACTCCACCCCAAAAAACATTCAGAAGATAATTGTATATGTTACCATGCTAACGGTGTAATGCTTGTCCTTAGCCGCAGAGCTGAAGACATTTAATCACCCCACCTCTTTATTTTCATTCAGTTCTACAACTTTCTTTGCTGTTTGCCTTTCAGTGAAGTTTAATCTCTGGGGGAATTTCAGAGATTAAATCGTTAAATCGTTCACCAGGAGGACCACAACCCTTCCATGAAGCACTGCATGAAGCACATGTCTCTGGATGAAGCAGGAGCCAGAGTGTCAGCTTGGATGTTCTACCAGGCGAAGAGCAACAATTTTCACTGACAGTCAGGACAGAACAGATGGATATAGCGTGGCAATCTGGAATGCAAGGACCGAGATGCAGCGGCAGGGGGACTGGTAACATCCAATAACAGTTGTAAGAGAAGCCAGCGCAGACTCACAAAAAAAGGAACGCAAGCAAATAGAAGACCAAACTGCCGCCTGAGGAGTGAACAGAAGAAACCAAAACAAAATAAAAGACAAACCCATCAGGAGTTACTAACAATTTCATAATGGCAAGAGGTAATTTAACCAGGGAAAGCAATATTTCTGAATCTGGCATTACTTGTAAAATTTCATACATTATTTGACTATTATATCATTCTGAAAGCAAAGTCTTAAAATTAAAGTTTTTTCTACTTCACAATAAAATTTCAAATGCTGCAAGCCTAATAAACGTATTATTGTGCTGAAATGTTTAATGTCCCAAATCTAATCAGATGCAGAGTTTTTGAAAGTACCATCCTATTCACAAGTATGAAATGAAAAATTTATGAAAGGAAAATTAGTATTTCATCATCAAATAAAATCCAGAGCATTAGTGTATACATGCTTCTCAGAAACAAGTTTATTTTCATGGTGCATATTTAGTATATAATGACAGTTAAGCTAGAAAACTCAGGCAGATCTTATTCAGGAAAGAAGAGAGGCAACCATCTTTCTTTTCACATATATAAATGTGTATTTTCCACATACACAACTAGCCACAAAATTCTCATTTGTATGGATTTGAAACAATATCCATTGCTTAATCATTTGCTAATGTTTAAATTAGTGCCAAGGCCAGTGCCTGGTGTTGAGTAGGTGGTCAACAATATGTATTAAATGAATAAATTAATCCATGAGAAAACCAGTATGTATAGTGTCTATGGTAAAGTGCAAGTCCAAAGAATGGCTCTCCACGATGGGTATGGGCAGATGACCTGGGGCGAGATTGGGAATCTGTAGGATAGATGATGGGCCTGTGGGTACTAGGTTTCACATACCTCTGTTATGTAAGGCACTATGCAAAACAACTTAGCTTCCTACAACTTATGTGACTTCTGGGCTTAAATTTGTCTTTCCACCAAAACCAGCATCATATTCACAAGATCTTCAAGTTCCTGACATTCTAGTTAACGAAAACTCCATGCCAAGGCAATTGTCCTTTAACAAAAAAAAAAAAAAAAAAAAAAAACTCCTGACTGTAGCAATAATGACTAGAGGGCCCTCCAAATAGCTCAGCAGATTAAAGCGCCTTCAAGCAGGCACCGGGGATGGGGGTTCAATCTCCAGGCCTGCCATGCTGGCCCCGCCCCCAGGGTGCGCTGAGTTGGCGATTGAGAGTCTGATCTAGTAGTGAGACCCTGAACACCCTGTAGACCCTTCCCTGAAATACAAAGAAAAGATAATAATAATGACTCAATGACAAAGATGAAGATATTAAAATTACGTAACTTAAATAAAATTTCAGTTCATGAAAATAACTGTAATACATAAGATAATGAGCAAGAATGTGCAGACTCCCTAAACCCAAATTTAAATATTTTTATGGTTAACTGTTTGTTTGTTACCCCAGGCTCAGCAACTTTAGTTTGAAACTTACGCCGAGGTTTGAACTTTAAAAATAGTTTTGCCTCGTGAAATCCGAGTCCAGATCTCAAAGTTAAACAGAGAGCTTAGGCTCAAGGACCTAACAGATTGAAATAGCTTCTTTCAAAACAAGTGAAAGGATCGAGATGCTATTGACTCAGAAGTGGGACAGTGGAGCCTCAGTGGAGATCCACAAATACATGCTGTTTCCAAATAGTTTATAGTTTTTTTATTTTGTAAAAATGATTCAACATAATCCTAAATTATTAAAGCAATGAAAACATAGATTATTCAAGTTTCAGTTATTTTGAACATTACATGAATATTTTTTGCCTTGAAGAATATCATCAAAATAACCATCAGAGATTTTTCAGAGATATACATCTCTAAGAGGGCAATTATTGACTTGTATTACAAAAGAATCCTGTCTTGTTAATCCTGCATTCATAATACTTGGCACATAGTAGGTGCTCCATAAATATTTGATGAATTGAATTGAGTGCAGTTTCAAGCTTTTAAGCATTAGCATAAAAGCAAAAAGAAACGGCATACTGAGTTAGACTGATATTTGATATAGCTCGCTTTAAATTCTAATAGTGGTGCCCAAAGGTATTTTATGGGAAAATAATGATAATAGTTCCTGCATGATGCTGACCTCTAAGATGTACTCCACATATCCGCAACTCACACTTTTCCTAAATTGATTCCTCTTTTCCTATACAAATAGTGTTTATTGCAAAACAATTCATGCTTATTACAGAAAATTTTTTTAAATAAATTAGTTTTTAAAATACTTAAAAATTGCCCACACCAAGACAAAATAATGCTACCAGACCCTTTCTAAACATTTTTTTTTTGGGGGGGGGTTGGGTGCAGATAAGAAATAAGATTTGTCACAGGCTGGGCAAAAGCCCTACCACTGAGCCACACTTCTGCACAAAGTGTAGGCTGTGTATACTGTACATTTGCCAGAGTGTTTTCAGTCTGAATCTTGTTTTCCACTACCAACCCAAATGTCAATAAAATGTGTGTGAGTGGATGAAGAGGAGAGTTGTATAGACTAAGGGGGCAGGCATTGGCGGTAGCTTGTACATCACCTTTTCCATGCCATATTGCACAATGACATGGACCCCCACTCCTGGAAAACAGGATGTGCAGGAATGCGACTCTGATACTTGGAGGCAGAATGGTGAGGGGACCCTAAAGTTCAACAAACTCTGGCCTCCCAGGCTCTACACTGCGAGGCAATAAGACTTCAGTGTTACCCCTTGTTCAATATTCATTAGGAAAATAAAATACTTTTATGTGCTATCATGTGTCAGATAGGCCTCAGAGAGCCCAGCAATCCTTACGTTCCACCCAAACTATATTCTAATGCAGGCAAAATGGTTTCGATCCACATGTTTTTGCAATTCTTTTATTTTATCACCACATGCATGCAGTATGTGTTTTCATCCTTTCTGTGGAGTTGGCATGTATATATAATACGTGACATTCTTTTTTTTCATTTTCTCTGCCCCTCTCTCCATCCCTCCATCTCTCTATCCCCTTCCCATTTAAGAAAGATCTATAAGAAAGATCTATCTCCCTCCTTTTTATTTTGAGCTGAGCATATTCATCTGTGGCTGCTTTGACATGACCATGGCAGTGTCGAGTAGCTGTGCCAGGCATAACATAGTCTGCAAAGCCTAAGATATCTACTGGATGGCCCTTTAAAGAAAAAGAATGTCTTTGTTTTAAACGAAGCAGAGAGAATTAGGAAAACTTCAATCTAGTTTGATAAAACTACACACATCATGTAGTGTGAGCACAAAACACTGGATCCCTCTGATGGCCAAATGCCTCTTGTCTCATGCAAGTACCCTCCACCACTCAGTCCACACAGTCCACGCGAGGAAGGATTTTACAGAATGGAGCTCCCTCCTTGGCGAAATAGGGTAAGTCCCTGGTTTTACTCAGGTTCAGTTATTACCACATGATATCATAGGGATTTGAGAGAAAAACTACCTTAGGTATAGGCATAGAAAAATAACTTTACAGTAAGTATCATCAGAAACTAACCATCATTTTAAGGCCTTCCACAGTGATAAATGCACCATCAGTGTAAAACAAACAAGTTGTATATTCAGTCTCAACATTGGATTGTCTTCTGGTCTCACAAAACTGCATGATGAGATTATAATTTCATTTAGAAAGCAATGTATTCACAATTCATGTCTTATACAGACAGGTTTTCTCAGACAATGATGGGGATGGTGGTGGCAGTGGCAATGGTAAATGTACATTCTTCTTATGTTTCTTCTGTCCACTGTTTCTATAGCCTGAGAAAACTACTTTTCTCTACTGTCCCACACTCTGAAGATGAGAAAGATCAGTGGGTAGGAAAGCGTCTGGGAGGAGTTAGTTAGAGGAGATGGTAGGGCAAAGATTCTGAAGTCTGTGGTTTATCTCTAAAAAAAAAAAAAATTAGTAAGTGCTCTACGTGGTGAGGAAGTGGCTTGTGATACTGCATGACAGCCTCATATTCTGAGAAAATTTTGCTTTCTCTTTCAAACTGGGGTGTGGAAACAGAAAAATAAGTCTATGGAAGAATTATTCCTACATTGTCTCCATAATTTGAGAGGTACAGTGACTCAATGACAGGTTCAGACACACAGATGATGGGGCTGGAACGTGAAAGCAGGTCTGTGAGAAGCAAAACCCAGGCTCTATGAGATGTAGGAAAGAAGTTGGAGAACAGTTTTGCCTTGGATCCAAGAGTAGATGATTGGGCATTTTTCATTTGTTCTTGGGTCTTCATTGACAATTCCTATTTCCCCAGTCACTGGTTCAGGCATATACTGACCACCAGCAAGGTTAAGCAGTATAAGGTTTTGTCTTCCCATGTAAATTCTACAGTGTCTTCAAACATATTAAACCAAAATTCTG